CATTCAGCTTCCGACCGGCGGCTATGCGTTAACTCATTTCACTAAATATGGTCATTATACAACCGCATCTGCTTTAAAAGCTATTCAGTATCTGAGATAAAGTCCATCACCAGCTAGCCATTGTATAAAAAAAAAACCCAACATGCTAAAATGAGAGGAAGAAAAGAAAAATGTACAAGGGTTTGTGTATATTGAGGCAGTGCCACAGCTCAATCTGCACATAGGACAGGTGAGGCAGGCCTTGGTAATGCCAGTAATAGACGGTCAATAAGGTTTGCAGCTGCATGCAAATGAGTGTATAGGTCTGAGATCATTAAGTTGTAAATACTCTGCTCAATTCATAAAGGATAGCCGTACTTTTAAAATAAAACTATCTCTTTTTTTTTTTTTCAACCAAGAATTAATTTAGTAACATTGTAAATATATCTCATTATCGCTGCCTTTTCTGAAACATGCTGCGTCAGCTGTCATAGGTCTGGGATAGTACACGCAAACTTTGCTCTTAAAAGGAGAACTATGAGGTGAGTGATTTCCACTCACCTCATAGTTCTAGCCGACCAGTGACAATGAGAGTGTCACAGGTCGGCTCAGTAGATCGGGAGGTGAGCGAACCCATACCGGCGCTCGCTCACCTCTCGATCCTGTCACGGCTCTCTGCCGTGACAGGGGGAGGGGCTGGATCCCCCTCTCCCCGGACGGGGGAGGGGGCGGGTACAGCTGGCTCTGCCTCTAGATAGGCAGAGCCAGCTGTCACTCACGCAGCTGGGCGGATCTCAACATCGATGTCGGCATCAGCTCCGGCGTCTCAGTATACCGCGAGCTATAGCTCGCGGTATACTGAGCTTAGGGTAACGGGAGGACGCTAGTTTGTGTCCTCCCGTTACACTAAGGAGAGGAGAACTATGGGGAAAAACACTGACCCCATAGTTCTCCTTTAATTTATAAAGGGTCTTTAAAGAACAACTCCGGATAAAATTTTTATCAACCCTTGCAGCAGGGCTAGGTATGCAAGTGCTCATTTTTTTTCTAGGCACAAAAATAAAGTTATAGGCACCCGATCCTTCGAGTTGGCCTGTCTCCTCCTCCGCTTTAGCGATGTTATGTTCCACGGTGTCCTATACACCGTGTATAGAACGTGACAACTCACAGGATCTTAGACCTCTGCAGCAGAGGGGAAGAGAGGCTCCAGGGCGGTCTAAAAGCAACCTTGAGTCATGCTTTAAAGTAGCATTGCAAATATAACCTATTATGGCTGCCTTTTTCTGACCTTTGCTCCATCAACTGTCACTATAGGTCTGAGACAATGCAAACATCACTCTACTTATATTTACCGTGTTTCCCCGAAAATAAGACCTACCCCGAAAATAAGACCTAGTGCTAACCAGGGATTTCCGTAATATAAGACCTACCCCGAAAATAAGACCTAGTTCGGCAGTAGGGGGCGCACATGTATTGCTGCATCCAAGCAGCCAGCAAGGGGTCTGAGTGTAAAAATCAATGACATGTGCAGCCTGTCTGCATGTACGGTCTAATAAAATGTCACGATCGCAAAGCTCCCTCCGGCCCGTCTGCCCGCCGATCCACCCGTCTGCATGTACGGTCTAAAAACAAGTAGAGATCGTAAAAAACTTTCTGGCCGCAGCTCCCTCCCTCCGGCCCCTCTGCAAGCCGTTCCGCCCGACTGCCTCGGCTTTTAGGATGCCTGGACGGCATCAGAGAGCTCCAGACAGCTGCAGCCAGGTACCGTACTGTGACACTGTGTGACAGTCACAGTACCATTCTTTCACTCCCCTTCTCCAGTACTGTATGATACAGTACATTACAGTACATCACTGCTCTGCGTGACAGTCACGGTCCTGATTTCTGTACATACCGTTTTTCCCCGAAAATAAGACCTAGTGTGTTTTTTTTGGGAAAAAAAAATATAAGACAGTGTCTTATTTTCGGGGAAACACGGTAGCTCATCTGTGTCTATACTGCAACTACAGTCAAGACATGAGAACAAGAAAGGAATCTGCTTCAGATACCTGCTTGATTTAATGACATTTTATGCTACAATGTACTCATGTAATCACTGGAGATCACAAATTGCTGCATACGTTTCTCTAACAGCTGCCCATCCCCATATTCCATGCAATTGTAGATATCCAAATGTGGAAACAGAATACTTGTCTACATGGATGCTTGCTAGCTTCCTTGTTCTCATTTCCGGTCTTGAAACAAGTGCTCTCTACATGTAACGAAACATACAGTAGTACGCCAGGGCTGCTTGCTTCTAAAGCCTCATACACACTGCTAAGAGCCGGCCCGTACAGATCGGTGCGGCGTGCATAGAAGTATCGGGCCGTTCCTGGGAAGGACAGGTGCTGCGTGTAATTGTACGCAGCAGCCTGTTCTTCTCTATGGAAGTACACCACAGTACGCTCACCTGAGCTGCACATCCGTGCGGGTGCGGGTGCAGGTGTCCGTGCTCAGACGCAGACAGGATCCATCCTGTCTGCGTACTAGTATGGACATCTGTACCCGCACGGATATGCGGCTCAGGTGAGCGTACAGCCACGTACTCCCATAGATAAGAACAGGCTACTGCATACAATCGCACACAGCACCTGTCCTTCCCGGGAGCGGCCGATACGGCCATGCACGCCGCACAGATCTGTATGGGCCCGCTCTTAGCAGTGTGAATGAGACCTAATAGTTGTAAAAATAATACTGCATAGAAATGATCATTTATGGCTCCTGGCACTAAAAACATTGATTCAAACAACTATAGTAAAAAAATGTGGTCCTTATTCTCAGTCTGCAGCTACAGTGTAGACACATGCAAGTAAAATGAAACCAAGCAAGAATGACGCTGCCACGGTGGTGGCAGCCCTCAAAGTGCAGGGAAGGAAAGGACAGAAGTAAGGTATATTTGTAAAGTTGCCTAGGGTCACTGGATGTATATAAGATCTAATGAATTTTAAAAGCACATTTAAACTTAAAGTTAAGTGCCAATATACATTCCAGGCACCCTATTTATAGGGTTCAATGAATGCTATAGAAAGCGATAACAAGGTTTGCACCAGATGAAGTGTGGCTTAAAGCAGATGTGGTTTTGACACTGCCTCAGCAATATACACGTGACCCCTAATAATAGTATTTTTCTACAATTTTACATAGTATTTTCAAAATGTTCTTGAATTATTTTGCGAGAACCTATAGTAAAAACATAAAAATAATCAATCCCTTCACAAAACTTCAGGGTGGCCGTCAGAAATAACAAGCTACATTTTTCCAAATATGCAGATATATGCATTCATTAAGTCTGTCAACACACCTACCCTATAGATTTTCATAAGAATAGTACCAATCTAAGGGACATAAAAATGATACTAAGGCCCTTTTTGGTGTAGTTGTGCAGTAAAACTGTTTAGCCAACATACCTGGATTATACATGGCAAAGCCAGCTCAGGAAACCCAATGCAGTGAGCCTGGGTATGCAAATATTCCATTGTCAAGTCATAGATTTGGTCAATAAGCCCGTCCTATGGAGAAAACAAAAATGGAAATACTTATTGGATGGAATCTATGAATAATCATAGCAAGTGCAGGTGGTTAAAATCCAGTTCAATTAAAAGCTTTTAATATGAAAACCAGCAAAAGGCAGCAAAATGTGCACACCCTGTGCTTATTGGTTAGCTGCTCAGCACAGTGACTGTTTCCTTTGCCCATTATTTTAGAGCAAGTATAACAGAAGCGCTATGGTTTATTGTGGCCACCAACTGCCAGGTGATGAACAAGGCGACTGATTTTGAGCATCACTTGATAGAATATAGGGGACCCTGCGAACGGGGCAGATTAGCAGGGGTCCTTATGTCTGTAGGTTTACGTTATCCAGCAAGAAAAAACTCCCTGTAATCCTAATCCTTCATTTTCCAATGATGAGCGATAAAGCAAAGTAGAGAGCATGCGCCACTGTGCACATTAGCAGGGTCGAATTAACTCTCACAGCCAGGCTACTGAATGCGCCTCCCTCCCCGCCAACCCCAATGGAAAATGGCAACCAGATGGCGGGGGCGGCAGGGTTGGTTTTAATTTTTTTCTACATCATTTTTTTTATTTTATCTTTGACTTTTTTTTGTATTTCTTATAACTTTATTTTTTACTTTTGTAATTATTTTCATTCTCATTATTTTTTACTTTTTTATATTCACTTAACTATTGCTATCACACAGGCGTGAACAAGAAAAAAAAAAAGAAGATAACCTGTCACCTCCAATACAGGACTTTGAACACAGTACTGTGCTGGCTCTCCTGTGACAGCTTAGATGGGAAGGCTGCAAATGCAGCTCTCTCTTCTCAGTGTTCACAGGGAGCAGAACGGAGAACCGCTCCCCATCCTGAACTACCTTGCCGTGGTCCCGGAGGACCCCAGAAGCGCAGGGGAACCCGAAAACTACGGCAGGAGGGAGGCGGCCAGCGGGAAGAGGCAGCCGGAGGTGGGGGTGGACCATGGGAGGGGGAGGACGGAGGAGCAGGCTAATTTCAAGTGATCTCGGCTTGTACAAAAGCTGCAGCTTCCCTGCTCTACATTTAGCTAAATGTAGAAAAAAAACTACTAGCTCGGCGCCCAGAGCATCAGGCGATAGGAATTCCACACCCCAGCCGCCCCTCTACTCCCTGCCGCCACAAGGCAGGGCCTCGGTTGCCTTGTGGGAAATCCGGCCCTGCTTGACAAGATTTAGGGTAAGTCCTGGTGCTCGCGAACAGTCAACATGAACCCCCCCTCCCAGTGCACCTACTGGTACTGTGTTTACATTAGAGAAGTCTGAATGGCTGCTCATTCACAGCAGCTCAGCTCACCCTGGAATCAGCCGCCATAGATGGCGCTATAGTAAGACTAGAGAAAAGTAAGAATCGGAAACCTTCTAGCACCTGAGACTAATGCTACCCAATGTAATGCTGAGTAGCACTCTTTTAACAGGTCACATTTCTTTTTTATAACACCTCGATGAAATAGCACATGGGAAAATAGGGAATGGAAAAGAAAATCTTTACCCTAAACACTTTCTCCTGCAGGTTGGTGTTAGACAATTTCAGGATCACTGCAAAGTTGATGGGTTTTACACTGATTCTTCCAGGCTTTTTGTTAAAGTTCGCTTGCTGAAAAATCTGCAAAAAAAAGAGAAACATGAGATTTGGAGGCTTAAGGAGACACGTCACTTCATAAAGTACATAACCAGGACCCTGCACCGTCGCAGGTTTCACTCACAATCTCACATTTTCTATTATCAGGACCTAGGCCCCCTTCCAGGTGAGTATACACAAATAAAAAGTACAATTTATCCACCATCTGCCCCGCCACAAGCATCCATAAGACTTTTTTTTACATAAGAACCTGTGTCAGGATTTTACTGCCATTTGTGTTCCTGTTTTAGAGTTTTCCCCCTTCTGTCCAAGGTAGACTAGGGCATCCATTACAATAGATGCAATGAACAAATATAGCTCTCTCCATGTAGATAAAGGATTACCAACTATACGTACAAAAGGTTTTGAACATATCACCATACACTAAAATATTATCTGCATCAAGTTCATCTTTTACAAGTATATCTAAAAACATTGAAGACTTTTCATTCTCCCTAAACAAGCTTGTAGCAAGCTTCAGGTCTGCTCGATCTGTATTCGGCATGCTCACTTTGGAACCTAAGGCTACAAAAAGGGCTTCAGGATAACAATATGGTTGTAGTATGTGAGAAGCTTTGTAACGCTTGCCAAGTACACTGTTCTTCAACCCAGCATTTCCAAGCCAATTACCTGTGTCAACCAGGCCTCAATTACCTATTTATGGGACGCCTAAAATTGGCTATTTACAGCCCGATACTTGCAAGAACAGCAACTGAAAAAGCATTGCTTATGAAGATTGCTTGTGAAGATTGGGCTATGTAGAGGTTCACAATGATAAACAGGACTTCCAACAGTCATTAACAGAACTCCGGGCTGCCAAGTAGCTTGAAAGGACTAAACGTACAGAGGTGGGCTGTCTGATGCTGTTAGACTGGGTATTCGAATGTACATTTACATATCAGCTCCTGTTTGATGTCTCACAGCACATTGCCCCATGGAAACCCAACTGGACTGAAGCGTGGTAAAAAGGGTCAGAAGAAACACATTGTTTAAAGTATGAGTAAGACAAGGTTTTGACATCACTGTGGAATGGAATTTTTGTTACCCTAGTTCCTGATGAATGTTAACTTTCTCCAGCAGTTCAAACTGCCAGAGTACCCATCATGGGAATCATAAGAAACCCGTTTCTTTGACCGCTTCGCTTTCTGGCTGGCAAGAACTCATGTTAAGAAAATTATAGCCAAAACAGTCAAATCAAAACTGCCAATGTGATGAGGTCAGCATCGAAAGCAAAAAAAGGAAAAAAAAAAACAGGTTAGGTCCACCACACAGGGAAGAAAAATACTAGACCTGGCATTCAACAACAATGACAAAGGAATACATTACACTTTCAGATAAAACTATAATCCCCTGCTTCATTATGCAGATCTGCAAGATGTTAGTTGCATAGTACATTTCTTTCCTTTAATTCTGTGTTTCATCATTGGTAAAAAATGTTGTACTTGCTGTAAAATCTTTTCCATCAAGTCCACTGAGAGGCACAGGAATTCTATTACAGTCAGGTTGTACTGCCGCCTGGGACAGAGGGCTACAGAAGAAGTTCAATGACCCTAAAGCTTCAAGCCCTGCGGCTTGAGTGGGGAGGACTGCCTATGATCCTATACTGGTGTAGTAGATAGAGAAGGGGCTCATTCTGCCCCTTTCCACTGACTCCCTGTGCTGGTCTGAAGAGGAGGGCATTCCTCAAAAGACAATCGAGTTAAAACATATCGTAGGTGTCCCAGGCACATTGCCATAGTGCCCTACACATGTGAATAGACATCATTGCCGTGCAATAAACATGCTTATATACTTGTATTAGGCCATTTCAGTTGAAGTACAAGGCTTCAAACAATTGCTCCAAATATTAAATGAAAGGAGAGCAATGGCAGACAATGCAAACTAAAATCACTGCCAACAAAGAACAAACTTATTTTAGCCAAATCAAACTGAGATCTGAGTAGAAAATCCAACTATCGGTCACTTGTATCCCATCAGATGGGTACACCTGTTTGGTAGTATGTCTGCTAACGTGGATTATTTTAGCATCTACGGTGGGAAAACACCACTTAACAGAAAATTATCTTCCAAAAAGGAAAAGCTCCACCACATTCTATGGAGGGGCTCTGGATGCTACAGGGAGTTTCCAATACCCACAGGGGAATGGTTTAAGCAGTGGGTATACAACAGAAAGGTCTTTGCAGCTGTGAAAGCTCTAAAAGACCCTAGGGTCTGAAAGAGCAGGCTGATCCTGCAAATGCAGACAAGCTCTTGTAAACCTGCAGGTGATGCAAAAACAGCCTTTATAGAGATAAGCTGTGAGGAATCTGCATAAGAAAAGGAATCGGGGAACCTGGGCACATTTTTATTGTAGAAGGCCTGAAAGGGTCAGAGATAGATTCTGGTGAAAGAATCAAAATAGAGGCTCTGAAAGCAGATTGCATTGGTAACTGGGCACAGACAAAAAGTCTAAAGTGGACAAAGAGGCCCTTGTAAACATGGGAAAGGCCTTGGCCTTGCATGATGGAGTTGAAGCTTCCAATGAGGACAACCTTTTTTTAGATTACAGGCGTAGTTCCTGCCAGGGACACCACAAAAATTCCCCAGAACCAGTAGGAGATTATGGGCTGAAATCCCCTATTGCAGCAGAACCTGCCCTCTGTGCATTTTTGAGAAGGCATGTTGGGCAAAAGGTCAAGGCCCAATGTAAGGCAGGGCCTTGCATACTCACAAACCCTAGTAGCTGCTGCAAATGAGGGTTGCAGGTGGCTGGAGGTGACCAAGCCACTGTAGGTGGGCAGTGGAAAAAGACTGGAGACCAGATGATCCATGTAAAGCTTCAGGAGCAGCAGCAGTGGGGTGGTGCTTCCTCCAGGCTGAACAGTGGACGAAAGAACGTGGAGCACGCATGCAACACTGCACCTAGTGAATGACATCAGCACTCAATTCTCATAGCCTTAACCATTACCAACGCAAGATGGGTGTAGCGGCTGGGGGGTTCTGATGGGACCACACACTGGGCAAATTCCTGCAGTGTATAACCAATGTATGTCTTGCATTACAGTCAAGATCGACAAAGGAATCCCCAATAAGTCTTATTAGTCTTGACCACACAGTGTGTTATGCAGCTCATATCAAACTGATGCTCAGGCAACACTCTTAGCAGACCAGCCTTTTAAAATCTAGGGAGGGGTCAGAAATGTTATCCAATAGGGTTTTACAACCGGAAAACAAGCGGTGTGTAATTATTTACATACCTACCAGATTTGTTATGTTGATGAACCTCTAATTGTTTTCTGCAATGTTCACAAATGTATCTATAATAGCTACCAATATCTCTTACTTTATAAGCTACCTATTGGTTCAAGTTTAGTGGCCCTTAAAATGTGCAAAGATATGATTTCCAAACAAGTCACCTGCACAGTAACCCTATGAGGTGCAAGGGTTAATACGGATTTTGGTAGATTCCGGTTTAAACACTGGAACATTTCGGATACGCTTCCTGATAGGTGTGCCCAGTAAGAGGCTTCCACTGTGAATTCAATCATTTAATTAGAAAATGGTTCTTGTAAAACCATTAGTGAAGAGAATCTTTAAACCTCCCGTCTGGTTGCAAAAGGGCACATTCAGTGCAGAGACTTTACAACCTGAGGAGTCTCGAGCAGATTAACAGCTCCTGCTTTCTCCATTCACTCGGTCCCCAATACCACAAACTAGGCACACCATCCTACTCCTTCCAGAAAATAATCTACAAAAATATTAGAAGTGATTCAATCCTTCCTACTGGTCTTAGAAGTCCTTAATGGCTTAAGCATTCTAACAAGGAAAAACATCAGTTTTTGCTAGGATACAATACATCTGGCACTGACAATTGAAAGGGCTCCTATATTTAGGCCACAACTTGCCTCAAGTAAATAAAAGTTAAAAAAGCATTTAAGAATGGAAAAACAGGACGCTGTTAAATAAAGAAAAAAACAGATGATAAGCAATAGTACCAGAAAACTATTTTACCAGCTTTCCATGCAATGGGACAACAAATTATTAGACCAGTAAATACATACTCGACACCATGAAATATGGACCAATTTTACCAGTGCATATCTTGACAAATACCATACATTTCTGCCAAACACACATTTCTCCCAGTTTAGTCTCTTTAAATATGGTGCAAGTGAAGAAAAATACTGGTTGAACCCGCCAGAAATCAAATGAGCGCCTAACTTCCTGTAGCTAGCTAAAAATGCTGCCTCTCATGCACCGATATGACACACAAGGAGCAAAACTGGAGCAGAAAATCTGAAGCAGCTGTGCAGGACAACCAATCAGCTTCTCTCTTCAGTTTGTTCAGGTAAGCTTTGAAAATGAAAGGTGGATGCGGATTGGCTGCCATGCACAGTGTTGTCAGCTCTGCCCAAGCTCTCCTTAGCTGGTCTACAGAACCCTCATCTCTAACATGAGGAGGTATTCTAAAGTCCTGCAGGGGAAAAGTCAGGTAGGGACGACAACGATTCTTGGGGTTGCAGTGCGACAGATGCAGTATTGTCAACTCACTAAAGGAAGTGAGGAGCTTGCTAGGCTTCTGACACGATCCTCAGGTATTTTTCTGAACTTGCTGTATTTTTACAAAGCCACAAAACTTGGAGAAATGTCCTTGTATGCTATTTTTGTCCTCAAAGACACTTTAACATGCAATGGGAGAGTGGCAAATACTGTATACCAACCTACACCCAGCAATGTCCACCACCCTCCACATCAGCCCCGCTGGCTCTCAAACTACCTGAACAATGTCTGTATCCAATCAGATTGTTCAAGTATTTTCACAGACAGCGGGGCCGACTAGCAAGATACTGAAGCTTGGCCCAGCGGGAGATTCCTTCATCCACACAGTTTAGTGTAGATGGAGGAATCTGTTGCACTTTTTCCATCTGACCACAGAAAGTCTATATGTGTATGCCCAGCTTTAATAAGAAATAAGGGCACCCTCACTGTAGCAGGCTGGCTGGCAGTACATGTTCTCTGGTATTAGCCCTAAATCATGTCCAGCCCCTAAAATATTGTAAAACAGGTATGCAATACAAAAACACAAAAAATCTGGGGTCACAAACACTGCTCATGAAATCCTGTGCTTACAGTACAAAATCACAAGCCTACAGAACGCTAAGTGCAGTTTACATTTTGGACGCTATACTTTACACCTTTACCTTGCAATTGTCTTGATGAATAATCTACTTTAAAAAAGCACACAGTCTCATGCGAGCAGCCAGGGACCTGGAAAGGATGGGGAGGAACAGATTGAAGGAATGAAGCTGGCAAGGAACAGGAGGATGTGGGCTGGACAGAGGCTAGCAGCTGCAGAAGCATTTCCGTCAACTGACTGAATAACATTTTGGCTATGGGACAGGCAGAGCATCACGAGGCAGGGGAAAAAAAAAAAACCTCCGGTGCTTCCCATCTTCAATCCTCAAACCAGCAAAAGCCAGACTGCGGCCAAGAACATCAATAATACCTCCACCCAAACCTCATCCCTTTATGCTCCGTCACTGCCGGATCTGGCTTGGAGAGCCAGACCAGATATCGGATTGACGGCCCACTAGATGGAAAACTAAATAAGAAGTCTGGATGAAGTAAAACGTGCAATTCCTGAGAGGGAGGAAAAATGAGAAGGGTGGGCGTACTGCCGCCATGCAGATAGAAAGCAGCATTATTTCCTCCGATTATGATTAGCTCGAGATCTATCACTCGGAAGGAACATCTCAAAGTTGACGCTTGTGGGAAGAGATGGCGCTGAACCACTCACGCAGTTACAGTTGTCAATGCTTCATCTCCAATGATAAAACCTGTGTTTATTAACCTGTTAAGTGGTAGGTGTTCATCTAAAAGGGCACATGTAGAATCAATGGGAGATATTGGTAGGGCAGGATATCGTGGAGATTGGCAAGTTTAAAGGGGAAACTATGGCTTTTTTTTTTGTAGGTAATCTGTTAAATAAGATGGTCTCAAACTTGCCCAATTCAAACTGAGCATATGATAAAAATGCATGCGTAAAGTTGACCTTCAGTGTAATCTGCTTATCAAAACTAAAAGTAGATCCAATATTAGTAGCTGACTTTTCCCATAAAAGTACAATTTGGCCCCAGACCAGCACATCAAAACTTGCCTTGTGATCAATGATGTTAATAATTAGACTGAAGAAGTAATGGGAAGCCTAGAGGTCGGAGGGGTGGGGCCAAACTTGATTTGGCACCGCAGCGCCTGTGGACCGCTCTGTAGCGATGCCCAGTACCCAAAGAGAATTTCTAGTTAGATATACAGTACAGAGCTACTGATAGTATTGACTTCCTCTTTAGCATCCTGGCACAGGTCTGCCTAATCCAAACTGGGGCGGCCTGCACAAAGTCTAAAAGGACAGCTTATATTATATTTTTTGCATTATTATAGCTTGTGCGTCACCCCTTACTGAATATTCACTGCAGTAAATGAGTCAAAAGAATATGGCTCATCAGTGGTGTTTACACTGAAACTGTGACCAGACTATGCACACTTAAGTGATTACATATTTTGAACAAGCGGTAAAAGTTCTTTAAAACAAACCCCTATTCATCTCTGCAGCTATAGGCATTGTGAACAAATTAATCTTCAAAGTTCACATTAGAGGCACTGAAATCTTCACTTTTTAATTACAATCTATTGCAACAGATTCCACACCCTGCCGTCCCTCTAATGTACACACATTACGCAGGTTTATCTAAGCTGTTAGAAAGAAACCCGACTAAAAAGCACTTGTAATGATCTTTGAAAGTAAAATTACTTCACAATACAAGCAGCTAGAGAGGCCAGGGGTGGCTGTTTAAAGCCCTTCTATTGCTTATTAAATATATTTAAATAACCTGATTTCATAGTCTGTGTACAGGTGCACTTTAAATTACAACTGTCAGTAGAAGCCTTATAGATGAAGGTACTTAAAGTCAAACTGTCCCCCAAAGAGGAATAAAAAACTGACAGAGGTTCTAAAGCTTCCTAACTAGATCCAAAAATAAAACAACACCATTGGAGAAGGCATACACATGCTTTACATACTTTAGTGTCCGATTAGCTTGCACTGTTAAATAATTAAAGGCAAAAAAAAAGGAGAAAAGCATTTACCTCCAGGATAAAAGGCAACACTGGTATGAAAACTCCAGTACTCTCCGACAGCAGAGTCAAGGCTCTTATGCAGTGCATCCTCAAAGGAAAATAACGCATAGTTGGAACAAGTCTGAGAAAGGGAATTGGAAAATTGTTACTAGAGCATTAGACTATGAACTCTGGCAAAACTTTAGCGTAGATTATTGAAACAATATGTTTATAAAGCAATCACCTTCCACCTGCCAACTCTATAAGAAGAAAGTCTCACAACCCTGTCATGATCTACTCGGAGATGTTTGTTTATGTTTAATATATATTTTATTGATTAGCCTGGATGGTGACAAATTCCATTGGCCCGATAGCCAACAAGTCTAGAACTTCCAGCAGACAAGTACATTTCCATTATTCTGTAACCAAGGAAGTCCCTTCTCCAACTCCTTATAAATAAATATCTGCTTCTATTATTATTGGACGACTGAACGCAATCTGCCCATGCCAAGGTTGAGTTTTATGAAAGAATCTGCAGACTTTAAAGAGTAATGCAGCCCAATCATTTGTAACCGGTGGGATAATCACTTTAAAGAAGTCTCACAAAAAAAAAAAAAAAAAAAAACATTATATATGCCTTAATTTCAGCATTATTCTGTCCAGTCCACTGATGTGGCATCATGGGTCCTTCCTGTGACAACCGTTCAGTGTAGCATGTACTGAGAGCCCAGATACGGGTGATGACACACCTGCAGAGGGTGTGTCCATGACAGCCTAGGCTCAAAAGCAGTGGGGTTGACTGAGACTGGTTTTTCAAGGGGCCACATGAGAAGCTGGGACTGTTGTGGAGGGCCAACTCATTACTGTGAAGGTGTGTAGGCACACACGCACATAAGTACATTGAAAAAAATATCTGATGGGGGCAACTAATGTAGGGGCACTCCAATGGATGCAACTATTAGTTGTCCCCATCATCAGAGTGCCCCCTTAAATTGGTTGTTCCCATCAGAGCGCCCCTACATTGGTTGCTCCCATCAGAGCGCCCCCTTACATTGGTTGCTCCCATCAGAGCGCCCCCTTACATTGGTTGCTCCCATCAGAGCGCCCCCTTACATTGGTTGCTCCCATCAGAGTGCCCCCTTACATTGGTTGCTCCCATCAGAGTGCCCCCTTACATTGGTTGCTCCCATCAGAGTGCCCCCTTACATTGGTTGCTCCCATCAGAGTGCCCCCTTACATTGGTTGCTCCCATCAGAGTGCCCCCTTACATTGGTTGCTCCCATCAGAGTGCCCACTTAATTTTGTAGTTGATGTAAGGGGACACTATTAGTAGGCCAGGGGCAGGCGCTGGCCGGTGGAGCTGCAGGAGAGGACAGAAAAATATACTCTTCAGTCCCCCTGTAATGCTGGGGAACACATCTGACGTCATTCGTTGGTCCTAGCAACCAATGACTGCAGAAGAGGTGGACACCTGACGTCCTTGTTTGCTAGGATGCCAGCGGTCCTAGCAACCATTGACTGCAGAGGAGGGGGGCCCGCACTGGGCTATGGCTTGCCGTGGAAGCACCAACCTTGGAGACCGGCGCATTCCATTGTCAGCCAGCCATAACCGAGGGCATGTTGGCAATCAGTCCCTGTCACTCCTGACCAAAGGGCCAGATATAGCCCACAGGCAGTAAAATGCCCAGGTCTAATTTAGATATATTTTAACCTATAGTAATATAATAACATATCAACCACAGCACAACTGACTGCTGCACAAGTACATAAATGTGGCAGAGCCATGTTTGGAAAGTTTAAACATTGGTTCAATAGCCAGAAAGCTCATAAGAGCTTCTAAGAACCCTTCCAAAAAAAATAGCTTGACATATACTAGGAGATACTAGAATTCAAGACCAGAGCAATGCTGCCACCTGCTGGTATAAGCAGGTCATTTTCCAGGTGCTTAAGTGGAACTCCATCCAAAACCTTTTACAAAAACATTTTGAAATCATTAGATACTCGGGATTTTATTGCATTCATCTGCTGTAGAGATGTCTTCTCACTTCCTATCCAAGCAAGCACCAGTGTCCTGCTGTACAATGAACATGTTTATTCACTCTTTGAAGTGTATTGTCTTTGTAATCATTTTAATGCATTAGAGGCTGGTAAAGAGTGTCAGAGTCTCCGAGGTGGATCAACAGATGAGGGTTTTCTCATACCAATGTGCTTTTGTCACAGGCATAAGTGATAAGAAACCTCCACAAAGAAATTACAGGCCGAAATTAACTGATGATCTTATAATGGAACTCAAGCCCAATTAGTTTTTCCAGCATTAGTGACATACAGGAAACGAGGGAATGACAAAAAGCAATGAAATGCTGGCAGAGGTTCTGACACTTACCAATAATAAAGCTACTACTGTAAGTCCCCCTGTGACATTCTGCTAACTTACTATCCTGACAATCACACAAGTAGTGCGCTGAAATCTCCCCAGCAGCGACAACGGCAATAAAACCAGACAGGAGACCTAATGGGCAGACAAGTGGATGAGTCAATGACTTCCCCATAAAAGCCACCAGATCAAAAGGATAACATGTGCAAGCAATCCAAAGCTCATTTTGTCTAGAATTCCACTTTAACAATAAAATTCACCAATAACGCAATCTTTAAAACAATAAAATTTTAACTACTGCCCAACAACAATCTGTAGATAAACAGTCCCATGCTGGGGTAATTATTATCTACCTTTCCACTTTTAACAACTATCAGCTGACACTGGCTGTTGCTGCCAGGAACCAATCATAGTGATCACAATATTCACCTGCAGGCTAGAGGCTTAAGGTGCCCATACACCTTACAACAGAGGTGCCCACAAGGTCGATCGCGATCTACCAGTGATCGCGATGTCCTCTGCTCCCGCCGGTGGGGCTTCTCTGGATCCCCGCTGCTCTCCCCATCTGTATGCAGCGGGGATCCGAGAAGTGAAGGAACCACTGCAGCCGGCGGCAGGGGAGGACGGAGCCGCTGTCACAGACAGAACTAATGCCGAGCGGTGAGGAGAGAGAGAGAGACGCTCGGCCAGGATCTGAAAGCCCCCCCCCCTCAGATCCCCTGCTGTCTCTGCAGGGGGGATCCAGAGGAGAAGCTGAGCCCGTGTGCGTGGCCGAGCGGCAGAGGATCGGTACATATCGGTGATATGTACCAATCCTCTGTGCCGGACAAACACTGTGTCCACAGTTATGAATGAACAGGATGTGATTTACATCACGTCCTGTTCATTCAGGAGTTTCTCATGGGGAGAAGCACTCTGTGCAGTGGCTCCTCCCCATTCAGAAACTGCTTGATAGTAAATATTTTCTGAATGAATGGGAAGCCTCTGTGCTTTCCATTCATTTAGAACAGAGGCTGCAGAAAAAGAGATTGAGGACTTAAAAGGGAAGTATCAGGGGGCTGTTTAGACCTCTGATATTTCCCCAAAGCCCCCCCAAGAGTAAAAAAACAAAACTAACAAAAATAAAAAATTAAATAATTAAAATAAATGCGCAAAAGGAGCTGGCTACGGCTATGCTCCCGTGGGGCTGAATGTGTCAGACTCTGCAGGACACCTCTCCACATGTGCAACGATCAGTTGTCGAACAAGCAGGTCCCTAACCCGCCGAGAATTGTACGATTCTCGGCGGGTTTTCAAGCCTGCTTGTTCGATGGAAGACGTGCGACCGTACAGTAGAAACAGTCGCACACCTTCCATATACTTTGCGATTATCGTACGATCGCGGATTTCCTGCGATTCTCATACGATAATCGTACAGTGTATGGGCACCTTAAGAAATAAGATGTCACTGCAGCCTGAACAGCAGAATGCCTTTGTTTATCCCTGCCATGGATACAATTACAGTATTTGAAAAACTATAATGTGTGTGTCTCTATCGCAATTTCAGCATTAAGTCTAGATGTTTTTATTAAAAGAGTGTAATAAATAATAGACATTGGTCTTTAAAATAAATATAAAAATAGCATTCTAATTCAGGTAAATTTTGCCTTGGCACCTAGAATATAATGACCTCTGGCCATGAAACGGTTAACCACAACGTGGATCTCAGTGGCACAACAAATTGGCTACTGCCAGGAATTTAGCAGCCTGAGGGCACATCCATTTTCCTGGTTTCCACAAGAATTTATTACAATTTATAATCACATTCTAGATCAAAGCCTGTTTAATTGCATGCCCGTGCTATAGTTTTGATTCGGTTGGGTAAATGGTGATATCCTTGTCTCATACAAATGCAATGTATAATGGCAATACATTCATTAGCTTTTCCTAATTATACAATTACAGTATGCTCACATCAATTATCATGAGACGTGAATGAATGAGATCCAAGGATAAAAAATTAGAACTAGAGTGTGATTTCATAGACGTCCCTGAAAAAAATTTAACTGAAGCTGACTTTATAAGCGGGCATCATCACTGGGTCTCTGTTCTCTAAGCAATGCAGGCAGATCGTGTCTGGTAGGCCAGTAGGGTGCTGTACAAAGCTTTCTGAAAACAACAGCACCCTACCTCAGCATTCCTCTGAGCCCTAATGCAATCAGTGGGCTGGCTCCTGGGAAGAGTTAAGGTTCCCACACACCTTGCGATAATCGTACGATAATCGCGGGGAAATCCCACGATCGTACGATTATCGCAAGGTGTGTGGAAGGCGTGCGACCGTTTCTACTTGTCAACACCCCGCCGAGAATCGTACGATTGGCGGCGGGTGTGTGGCATGTGCGTAAGATAAAGGCCGCACGGGCCGGTGTGCGCAAGCGCACACTGCCCGTTCAGCATTGCGGTCATCGGAAGCCCGCCCCTAAGCGGGGCGGGCTTGTGATTATCGCAAGTAGGATCTGCCTGTCCAAGATAGGCAGATCGTACGTTTTTTTAATTACCTTACAACCATCACAAGACAAAAGTCTTGCGATGGTTGTAAGGTCTGTGGCCAGCTTTATGCAAGAATCAACATATCTTAGTGGGTGGATGCAAGTCTGGAGGAGTCTGCTTTCTTATTGCAGACTGTATTTGCATGCTGCCCTAGATGACACTCACATGTGATGATGAGCCTCCATGATTGAAAACTTCAATCCAATAAATAAAAGGGACGGGCCAAGGTTAGTAAGGTGGGGGGTAAGAAAGAGCTAGATGAAGCTGGATGTTCTCCAGCAAGGAAATGGAGGTGGGTGGTCCTATCTGACTTGCTGCAGCTTCTAAAGCACATTATGTTTTGTTTTCCAGATTAAAATAAACTCACCTGATACAGCCAGAAATAACTTGGACAAGTGGATAGATGAGAGGCTCCAGAACCTCGCTGGGGTGAATTGTGCTCAACACTCGACACCAGAGATACAAGCAGTGAATGAATTGCCAGTTATACACAGACTGATGAGCCCCCTTGGAGAAAAAAAAAAGAAGAGATCTTAAAATACAAAAAAAAATAAGTATTTCTCAAACACGTCACAGCATAACGACCTAAAGAATATCTAAACCATAGAACGGAAATCTGTTGCAGAATACCAGTCCTCAGATTCAGGCTGCATTAGTTTTCTTTTTACCTGGCAATCCTGCTAGTAACACTTCCTGTACTCTAGTGACAACATCCACTCGCTGTACTGTATCTATGGAGGAGCAGTGTTGTCACCCTAGGACAGAAAGTGTTGGGCCACTGTCTGATCAGGTCCACTGGTCAGCTTTTCAAGCGGATTTGATCGGATGCCCACTGCTAGTATATGGGCAGCCAGGTTTACATCTGGTAACCCCTAACTCTAGCCATGTCTGAAAAAACAAATGGAACAGAGTTCCGTTTTAGCCGGACCTGATCATGCCAGATCAGAGGTAATCTGATGCAAGTGGACACATGTCTGTTTACATCCGACTCCCAATAGACCGATATGGGTTCCAGGATAGAGTTTTTCCTCAATCACAAGATGGAGGGAAAAAACTGGATGGGCGCTAATGTCACAGCGGTGACAACCACTCTATACTGCTCAGGCCAGGATCCCCTCCTGATCAGCCCGTATGAAAGGGGACTTAGAACTTCAGAACCCCCCTTTTACCTCCACAGCTAATGGGAGGTGTTCTGTAGTCCACAGAGAGCTGGAAAATACACTAACAGATAACATTGAGCAATGACAGAAAGCAGAGGCCAGCACTGGATTTCTGGCTGGATGAACAGGTATTTCCCCCCCCACATATTTTCATTAAAAAAATAAGCCCTGTGCGATGACATCGAAATAGTGCTTGTAGCATTTTGATCGCACCGCAGGCACAATGTGCCGTGCAATCCCGTGCCGCAGATCGCATTGCGGCCGGAGGGCGTGGCTACGGCGCCATTCACTTGAATGGCCCGCCACGCCCACTCGAACCCCACTAAAAAGTGAGCCGGCCGAAATGCGAGGCAGTGCGTTCCGGCCAAAATCGGCCCGGAACGCACCGCATCTAGTGTGACTGAGCCCTTAATCTCACTTCCTGTCCCTGAGACAACAGGAAGTGAGAGGTAATCTACCTCTAGGAAGGGAAATTCACTCTTGTAAGAGTCATCCTGGGAAAAAGGTGTCTCCAGAGAAGCTTTATCACCAATCTTTGTTTCCACGACAACCCAAATTTTCAAAATCCAATTGTCACAGGGACAGAAAGTGAGGTGAAATCTTCTGAACAGGGGCGCACACAGCAAACCAAACGTTACAGGGGGGGTTAACCCTTCCCTATGCTATCCAAAACCTAAAAAAAATTGGGGCTGAAGTTACTTGTACCTGTTCCAAATGACATACAAATTCCACTTAAGAACAAGCCTAATGACCCAATCTTGTTTGTAACCGGGGACTGCCTGTACACTATTAGAGAATACAACGCACATGTTGCACAATGGGTAACAATACATGTAGAACATAAACCATTGCCTCATGGGTAATTGGTTACCATGCGATGTAGTGCAATGCATCATGTGATGGCGAGGTGCAGTGGGCAACCATTAAGAAACAATATCACTGCACCTAAATGACATGCGATCTTGTGCGAGGTGGAACGCACACATTCCCGCGTCGCATAGACGTAAACGAGCCCCAATGGCGGCATTGTGATATCACATGTTATACAAAAGCTTTTTTGTTCATTTTGCTCCTGAGAATCAAGAAAACAAACATAATAGAGAAAACTGACGAGGAATAAATTAAGAGGAAGTGACAAAGAAACAGAGAACAGGAGGAATCGCACAGCTGGAGGAGAAAAGTAGCAGAAATCATAGGAAACACGTTGGGGTTTGTTCTGAGCGTAGCAACACCAGAGACTTTATAAAGCCTCATCACAGACAGGAAGTTGTACAGATGGAACAAGCATACAAAACAAACAGATGAACATAAGCTCCAGAAACAAATGCTAGCCATACGTGTAGCTTCCTGAGGGGCTGAGAGAAAAATCGCTTGAGTGCCCCATTCATGCTAACCAGTGAGGTGTGAATTTCCCCTGCTGGCTATTGTATTCTGACAGCTGGCACCTGTGGCTATTAGAAATCCAAACAGTGGCTACATCTGATTGAATGCAGGCACTGTTCGGCTGACAAATTTCTATCTGGCTGTTTCAATTTTTCCAATCAACTTTTGTGGAACCTTGTAGTGCAAACAGGGCAAAAAAACAGCTTGAATTTAGGCCGTTTCAGCTGGAATTGGGCACAATCTGAGCAGTCTTTGGCCAATCTAAGTAGCCAATAAATAAAAAGCAAAGCAACTATAAAAGTGATGGAAAGGTTACTGATTTTGGATTGTTGATGCAGTGTGTGCTTGTTGTAGTTGTGCTGTATGGTACCAAATAGGTATTTTTTGTGTTCATCAAACAAGCAAAACGGTTTCCCACAGCTGCCCAAAAGGGAACAAATAAAGGGTTAATTATTTGTGTTTCCATATACTAGGGCCTTGTTCACACCAGATACAGTGCGTCCACGCCCAATTCTGGACAGAACGCACTGCACCGCATTGCGGCCGGCTAACTATGTTGCGGGACAGTAGGGGCATTTGCTTGCAGCATTTTGTTCGGACCAGACCGCAGGCATAATGAGCCTTGCGTTCCCGTGCGGCCAATCGCATTGCCATTCACTTCAATGGACCGCCACGCCCCCTCCTGCCCCATAACATAGTGAGCCATCCGCAATGCAGTGCGTTTTGGCCAGAATCGGGCCAGAAAGCACTACATCTGGTGTGAGGGCTTGTTCACACCAATTGCGGTGCGTTCCAGAGCAGTAGCTGCTGGAACGCACCACAATCGCTCACAAAACTCCCCCCTGCGTTCTGGGGCAGGAGGGGGTGTGGCGGTGCATTGAAGATGACTCACAGGACCTTACACTGCCAGAGCAGAGGGGGGAGAGAGGCTCCAGGGACCGGTCTCACGGTCAGCTGGGATTGTGGTTCAGATGAGAAGAACTATTTAGCTATTATTTTAGCTCCCTAGACAAAACTAGCATTTAATCCTTGCAGTGTGGGGTTAGGCCCACTGCAAGGGTTAAGATTTGATTTGTTCTTTTAGCCATTTCTATTGTAAATCACCCAGACAGCAGCACAGTGGGTCAGTGGTTAGCAGTTTTACCTTGCATCACTAAAGTCCTGACTGAAACTAGGTTCGGCCAAGATACCATAAGGGGAATTTATCAAAACTGGAGCAGACAAAATCTGGAGCAGTTGCCCAGGGCGACCAATCAACTTCACTTCAGTTTGTTCAGTTAAATTTGAAAATGAAAGATAGAAGCTGATTGGTTGCCATGCACAGCTGCTCCAGTTCCTCGAGGACAGGGACTGATGTGAATAGTATGTAAAGTGTTACATAAATTGCTGGAGCTGTGTAGATACATGTAATAAAATATTTCATAGCAGCTTTTTTTTTAATATACCAAATATAATGTAAAAAAACCCTTTTAATGTCTGTGATATGGTTGTGCTGTCTTAACAGCAGCTCAGAGTAAGAAATTCTGTATATTAAAAAAAAAGCACCTTCTCATCGATTGCCTAGCATTAAAGAAGATTAACCCCTTAAGCAAACGCACAACACGCAGCAAGAGTTCAGCAACTAACAAGCCAGAAATACTGCAGGATATCTGCCGCGACCATGTGCGTGCCTCATTCCCCAGACTAATGAGTAAGAAACAGCAGGGGACAGTCATCAACGCCACAGATAGGGAAACACAATAGGGTGGCCTGGAAGCTTTAGGCCGACACTCAAGTTACCATTTTTTTATGTTATTTTTCATCTATTAAAAAAATTTTTTTTCAATGAGTACAATAAAGTGAACTTACTCCTACTGGCCAAGATCATTCCAGATATTTAAGATCTGAAAGGATGCAAATGGAATGAATATTGCGCCCATGTCTTATACCTGTTCCTTTTCTGTACAGAAAAGGAACCATCTCCTAAGAGTTCCTGATGTGCATCCCCAATACAGTGGGTCTTAACACCCCTTCAACATTCTCTGTAACATAACGAACTGAGAATGGGATGGAATGACAATCTTGCTAACAATAAAAGCAACAGATGTGCAGTGCTCAATGTTCTCACCACCAGTGCCTACAAGATACAAGCTAGTAAACAATTACATTTTGGGGGGACATATCCTTTCACAATAATATACACACACCAAAAGTATTGGGACACCCTTCCAAATCATTGGATTCAGGTGTTCCAATCACCTCCATGGCCACAGGTGTATACAATCAAGCACCTAGGCATGCAGACGCTTCTACAAACATTTGTGAAAGAATGGGTCGCTCTCAGGTTACCTGACCTCACAAATGCTCTTCTGGAAGAATGGTTAAACATTCCCATAGACACACTCCTAAACCTTGTGGACGCCTTCCCAGAAGAGTTGAAGCTGTTATAGCCGCAAAGGGTGAGCCAACTCAATATTGAACCTTAAGGACTAAGACTGGGATGCCATTAAAGTTCATGTGCTTGTAAAAGGTAAAGGTGCAGGTGTCCCAATACTTTTGGCAATATAGTGTATGTAAATATATATATATATATAAAATATGTTATGCGCTTTTAGACTTTTACTCAAGCTCCATTGCTGAGAGGTCACAACACATGTTGGGGTCTACTAGATAACAGGAAAAGCATTTTCACGGTTAAGATATAACCAAAATTTTGCTAAGAAATGCTACATGAATGCAGATAGCGGGATGACAAACAAACCAGCATGATTCAAAGGCCCAAGTCAAGGCCCTGAAATCTGAAATGGTTAATGACATTAGGGGGTCCAGCGATGGTCCTACGCTGTGGCTGCCATCTTTACCGTGACATTTCTAAAGGTCACGCCATGGAATGGTGTTAAGCTATATCGCTCTGTATTCCGTAAAAAAAAACGGACGGATTCTCTACAGCGGGTAGATTGAGGTGGCAGGAAAGAAAACAAATCT